AAAAAAATCTGAACTATTGTAAAGTTCTCAGTGTCTGTCCTGTACTCTGGGTTGGGTTTTGCCTGACCTTTTTATGGCTGTTGATGTTGGAGTGAGGAATGGAGCCTGTTTGCATTGAGCAGGACCTTTTTACTAATTCAGATGGCAAGCTGCTGTTTGTTTTTCCCACATCTGTTTTGCGCTGGTTCTTTGTGACAATGTTTGCTGGATGTTGGCCCTTACACTTTCTCCTGAAATGAGAAGCCAGTTTAAACGGATGTTTCAAAATGTTAAAGACACCCTCAGTTGATTGCTACCCCATGGCTCCCCCCCACCAAAACTCCTCTGGCGCCACTTTTATTATTATCAGCCCACAATGCTTGGACTGTATTTCACAAAAAAAAACAGTAGCTGTCATCTGTCTGTAGCAGAAGACTGAAAAGCCCCACAATTTTCAAACTGTGGCTTGACTGGATGCGCTTTATTGTTGAAATGGAGCTGTCGATTTGGATCTTCCAATTCTAATTCCAGATTTCCTCTGATCTCCAAGTAATTTTTCCTTCACTTTCCCTGAAAATAGTGACACTTGCTTAGGTACACTTCACAGATGACGGGAGTTCACCAGAATATCGTCTAACAGATTAACATTTCTGTTCAAGCTTAAACGGTGATTTTTTTTTTGTCAGGTTGAACAAACCATCATAATCAGGCTTGGTGATGTTGTGGTAAAATTATTGAACTAGTGTGCCAGAACCCCATGCTACTGTTCTGGTGTATGGATTTGAATCTCACCATGACAGCTGGTGAACTTTGAATTCAGTAAGAAGTAAACAAATAATAAAAAGTTAGCCTCATGGTGACCATGTAGCCACTGTTGCTTGATGTAAACAAAATCGTTAGGGAAGGAAACTGCCATCCTTACCTGAACTGGTCTCATTTGTGATTTCGGATTCACAGCAATGTGGTTGATACTTAACTTGTCTCTGGGCAATGAGGGATGGGCAATAAATACTGGCTTAGCCACTGATGCCCACATCCCATGAATAATTAAATCACTTTCACTCTGGCTGACTCTTCCTTGGGACCTCAGTCCTTTACTAATTTATATCAGTGTTTTAGATGAGGGGAGAGAAATCATGGTTGGTAAATTTGCAGATGACACAAAGATAGGTAGGCAAGTATGTTGTGAAGAGCAAAAATGGAGAATGCAGATACATATAAAAAACTTCAATGCGTGGGCAAACAAATGGCAGTTTGATTACAATATGGGAAAATGTGAAGTTGCTCATTTTGGCAGGGAGAATATGAAATCAGAGCATTACTTAAGTGGAGAATGCCTGCAGAATTCCAAGGTGTGGAGGGGTCTTGGTGTTCTTTTGCATGAGTCACAAAAAGCTGCTATTCAAGTACAGCAAGTAATTTGGAAAGCTAATGGAATGTTGCAGGAGAACTTAAACATAAAGGATGTTATGCTTCAGTTATAAAAGGCTTTGGTGAATGTACATCTGGAGGACTGCGTACAGTTTTTGTTTTGTTACATAAGGATGGATTTGAATGCATTGGAGGGAGTTCAGAGAAGGTTGGTATCTGGAATGAAGGGGGTATCCATGGGGAAATGTTAGTTAGGCAGTGCTTGTTTCTACTGGAGTTTAGAGCATAGTTTAGGAGAATGAGGAGTGACTTGAATTATATAAGATCCTGAATGGTCTTGATAAGGTGGATTTGGAAAGGATGTTTTCTCTTGTGGGTGAATTCTTGCACCAGGGGACACTGTTTTAAAATAAGTGGCTGCCCTTTTTAGGATATAGATGAGGAAAATTTTGGTTTCTCTGAGCATTGTGCCTCGGAAGGCAGTGGAGACGGGTGCCATTGAAGACTTTCAAGACAGAGAGATGGATAGATTCTTGTTCAATGAGGGTTATTCAAGGGAAACAGCTTAGCCATGATCTTTCTGAGTGCCAGGGTAGGCTTGAATAGCTATGTCTGTGCCTAATATGCATGTTTCCCACTGTAGCCTTGGGACAATCAGACCAATTGAAAGCATTTTAAAACATATTTAACACACATCATGGAACATATGTGCGCATTGACAATGATGTCAGTGAAAGTATGATTGCAAAGTCATGAACCTGAACAAGTAGGTCAGTCACATGCTGTGTGCTGTGTCATGATTGGACGAAGATTAAAAACAACCTGGACCGTCCCAAAAGAGATGTTTATTTGAATTAATGCCCTCAAAACAGGATTCATAGAAAATCATATTTGTTTTTGAAATTTTGTCATATTGACCAATTAATGAAGAACAAGCAAATCACAATTTTGAAACAACAGGGACCACTGAAAGTCCAGATTCCTCCAAAATGCTGATTTGACCTGTGCAATAATTGAAATGTTGAGGTAGTTAGTGGTCCTTCAATTAATATGGGAACCTTATTGAGTGGGTTCAAAATAAAGTTTAATTCACCAGTGGTCATAAGGAAAGAATTGTTCAGGCTTCACTTTCTCATTAGTTGCGCCTCTCATCACCTCTCACTGGACTTTGTGGATCTCTGACTTGCTTGCCTGCCTACAGGGATCATTTTAACATTCTTTAATGCCTTGGGTAAATGCTGCAAGACCACCTTGTGGAATTGACAAGCTGTTATCATACCCTGGCCAAATATATAACACATTTTTCATTTTGATGCATATGTAGCACCTGCGTCCATTAGGGCTTGGACCTTCAATAAACACACAAAGCCAGCCTTTGACAGGCACCATATGAAACATATTAAGAACAGACATAATGTTCTTATTATATGAAAATGAGACAGTGGAACTCCTGGCGTGCCTCTGAGTACTCAACAAGAATGTTTAAAATGCAGAATCTTTTGCTCTTCAATTTACTTGCCATTCGCTTTATGTGGAGCTGATTGATCTCAAATGAGCAGCAGTTCTACATCTGACCTCAGCAAAAGGAAATGCCAGTCAGAGTCCTCACTTCTGGTTACAACCAACTGTATCCTGATTTGGTGAGCAAAGGATCAGGCTGTGTAATGATTGTTCCCTTGGTCAAGTTTTCTGCTGACATGTGGAGTATATCCACCAGTCCTTCATTCTCAGTATTGAGTAACACTGAAAGGGAGCAAGGATTGGATTACTGCTGCTATTGTAATGTTGCCCTACCTTTGATTTCCATGACTTCCAGGACTATGGACCGTTAAGAATGTGGGATTGGTAAACTTAGCCATTATGAATCACAGAAGGAAGTAATTTGGCTCATTATATCTGCACATCACTCCAATGAGCATTGTGACTTAGTACCATTTTCTTTCCTTTTTTTCCATATTCTTGCACATTCTTTCTTTTCAAGTAATAATTGGATTCCCTCTTGAAGTCCTCAACTAAACCTATCTCCACCACACTTCCAGGCAGTGTATACTGGATCCTAACTGCTGATTGTGTAAAGAAATTTTTCTTACATCGCATTTTCTTCTTGTACAAACCCCTTTAACTCTGTTCTCTCTCATTCTGGGTCCCTTTGTGGACAGGAACAGTTTCTCCCTATCCACTCTATACAGGGAAATGCCCTGGTTTCAGAAATGGAGGATGTCACTTAGAGCAGTTACTGGATAGTACACAGTTAACTGAATTGTCACCTTGAGAGGAGAAAATTAAACTATTAACAAGGTGATTTTTTTTCTCTTTGTTCACAGGATATGAGCATGCTGGTTGTGCCAATATTAATTGCCTTTGAACCATGGTGGTGAGCTGCATTCTTAAATCACTGCAGTCCTTGGGATCTAGTGCTGTTAGGAAGAATGTTCCAAGGTTTTGACCCAGTAACACTGAAAGAATGACGATATAGTTCCAAGTCAGTATGGTGAGGCTTGGAAGGGATCATACCAGTGATGGCTTTTCTATGCATATACTGCCTTGGGCTGGTGAATCTTTTTTATTCATTCAAGGGATGAGGGCATTGCTGACTCGGCAGCATTTATTGCCCATCCCAAATTGCTCAGTGGGCAGTTAAGAGTCAATCACACTGCTGTGGGATTGGAGTCACATTGTAGGCTAGACCAGATAAGGATGGCAGTTTCCTTCCCTAAAGGACAGTCATGAACCAGGTGGGTTTTCCTGACAATCGACAATGGATTCATGGTCATCATTAGATTCTTAATTCCCGATATTTATTGAATTCAAATTCCACCACCTGCTGTGGCAGGATTCAAACCCGGGTCCCCAGGATGTTATCTGGGTCTCTGGATTAACAGTCCAGCGATAATACCACTAGGCCATCGTCTTCCCCACTTACCATCGCTTACCCTCTGGAGGGTAAAGATCACAGCTTAGGAAGATACTGTTGAAGGAGCCTTGGTAAGTTGCTGCAGTGCATCTTGTAGATGGTTTACACTGCTGCCATTGTGCATCAGTGCCGAAGATCATAGATGTTAAAAGTGGCAGATGGATGCCAGTCAAGTGGCCTGCTTCATCTTGGATGGTGTGAAGCTTCTCGAGTGTTTTTGGAGCTGCCTTCATCTCCAAGTGAGAGAAGTATTCCATCAGATTCTTTACTTATGCCATGTAGATGATTGACATCTGTGGGGATTCAGGAGGTGAGTTACTTGCTGCAGAATTCAAAGCTTCTGATCTGCTCTTGTAATCACACTATTTATATAGCTCATCCAGTTTTAGTTTCTAGTCAACTGTAACCCGAGGATGTTGATAGTAGGAATTTCAATAGTGGTAACACCATTAAATGTCAAGCGGTGATGGTTAGATTCTCTCTATTTGAAGTGGTCATTGCATGGCATTTGTGTGGCACAAATATTACTTGCCACTTATCAACCCAAGCCTGTGTATTGCCCAGTTTGTGCTGCATTTGGACATGGATTTCTTCGGTATTTGAGGAATCAGAAATGACACCGAACATTGTACAGTTGTCAGTGAATATCCTGATTTCTGACCTTATGATGATATACTTTTGTGTAATAATACATTGCTCATGGATCTTTGTCTTTTCACTTTCTGCCTCCCTCCAGCCGCCTGAATAGAAACAACCTACAGGTCTTGCCAGAGTTGCTTTTCCTGGGAACTCCGAAGCTCTACAGACTGTGAGTAATCAAGTTTTTATAAACCTGTCAAATTTGGCAATGAAAAAGACACCTGGCTGATTTCAGTGTTGTGTACCTATTCCTGCACCACATCAGCATAGGTTTATACTTGGTAACTTGCTCTTCAATCTAACCTAATATTGCAAATGGCCATGTAATTGTAGATATTTTGTTCTTCGGCTGTATGGAGAAGGAATTATTTTTGCTTAATTGTCACAGTTTTTCTGAATCCCTTAGAGCAGTTTTTTTAAAGAGAACCAGTAGGATAGAGTTGTAATTTGTTTTGTGCTTTCTTACAAATCATAAATCAAAGTTAGAGCTTAAGCTCTGAGATATCCTCAGGCACTTTGAAGCAGGCAGATGTAGTCCTGATGGTAATTTAGAAGTAAAACAGTTCATTGTTAAGCCATTGAGAAGTGAGCAGCTTCAGAAAGGTACAGGAGGAAGGTCATGTTTGGTATGGTTTCATGTAGTAATAGTAAACTTGCCATGCCTAATGGGACATCACTGCTAAACTGAGAGTTAATTCAGGACTAATCTGTGGTTCATTCTACTTTCACTTGCTTCATGGAAATTCCGTTTTCATTTCAGAAATTCAGTTCTGAAATTCGAAAACTTTTTGACTTACTTAATGGATGAATGTTAGCTGCGACTGTGACGAAGTCTGGCTTTGTCCAGTTTACACAACTAGCAGTGATGTTGTTGAAGAGCCTCTTTTAATTTTAGCAGTTTTGCTGAAAGTAACTGGATTCATCTAACAAAGAAAGCCTGTAGGTGTATTTTCATTCTGTCATGTGCAATCCAAAGTGAAATTTAAACAGGTGATCACCTTAGTCTCTATTTCTTTATTCAATGAAGTGCAATGGTTTCTTTTAGAATTTCTGAAAGCAGGAATCTCGCATGCTTTGTTTCAAGATCCTCATTGATCTTATAGCGTTTTGTAAAAATTTTAGGTGAGCTGGATGTCAGTTGCAATTCTTTCAAGTATTTAAATAAGTATATAAATCAATGTAACTAACAAATGCATACCAAGTTTACACAGACAGCTTTTAGCAGTTCATCTGCGTACTGAAAAATCATTTGGAATTACTTAGAGAAGATTTTTCTGCCATTAATAAATGGATTCTAATTGCAGACTATACTGGAACTGAGTCATAATATTCATAATGTCCCTGTTTTCCTCAAACATTGTCCCCATTTTCTCTCCTGAAGAGGTTGACTCCTTCGCAAGGTTTGAAGCCTCCTATCCTTTTCACTGTACAATACCTCATCTCAGCAACCATCTCTATACAGGGCAGTCAGCTTAATCATAAAGTTATCATTTAACTCTGACTTCTGCTCACCAGACCAAATATTGGTGGAGTTTGAGGGTGGTGTTGAGAGAGGCGAGGTTGGTAGTCACATATTTAGCAGTTCGGCATGTGAACATTGTCTAGACGCTTTCTTTATTCAGCCTGTCCAGATCTTTTACTGTAGAACGTAGAATTTCTCAACTGACTGCTTCAGAAAACAGTGTCTGACAGGGCTGTGTTTAGTGCATTTAGTTCCCACTATTCCTGTATTGATAAAGAATCTGCTTGGGTTCACTTAGATCAGTGTGAATTACATTAGTATGATCTGATTTGATAAAGCCTTCTCTTAAGATATCAGATCTCTGTGCAAATATGCCTTGCCCACAATTATCAGTGGAATTTCCCTTTTTTACTTATCATTTATCTTTTAGTATTTATTGTGATGACATTCGAGATGCTAAGGCTCAACCTTCAATAAAAAATCATGCTTGAAGATAATGCACGTTAGAGAATCCAGCTCCCCCTCCATTTTCTTTGAGTGTGAGGTCACTCTGTTTATCCATAGAACCGAAGGTGATAATCACAAGCCACCAGCACCAATGAGATACAGTATTTAAAAAAAAATCATGCAACAGTATTTGTACCTATGGTTCAGAAAGATGTGGATTTGAGTAATGCACGAGGTCTTGAACTCATAATCCATATTGTCATGCCAGTATATTGCTAAAGGAGTTACCAGTAAAGGTGCATTGTTGGATGTGCTGCTGTTCATAAGAGACACTCAGTCCCTGTTTCCTGCTGAATTGGAAGTTTGAACTCTAATAACTTTGGGTCAAAAGAACAGTGGAACCTCCCTGCTGCCTGACGAACGTTCTCCCTCAATTTATAAGAAGAAAATGAAAAACAACTGAATTGGTAACTCACTTGTGTCTACTACTAGAAGGTGTTGGTGTAGACCACATTTAGTTTCATGACATTTAATTGCATTCAGTTTCAGAGCAATGGGGACTTACACTGAAATATGTGAAGCACTTTATGTCTCTGTGTGAAAAATTCCAACATAATGCAATAAGTTTTGCATTATTTTGTAAATTGAATATTTGCAACAAAATAGTTTACTACAATACCTTATTGAAAATTGTGCTGGCCCATCTCTGACTTGTTTGGATCACAGATCAAAAAGACCTTATGAAGACTTTCAGCTGTTTGCCAGACTGAGATCAATAAAGCATTGCTGATTACAATTTTCAATTACTCTCCAAATATCACCACTGTCAATGACAGTCTGCAGAAACTGTACGACTTGGCTGAGTGGAATAACTATACATTTTAAATTGGTATTTTAAACTTTGAACCACTGAGCTCTGGCAGCTATATTCTTTATCCAGCCCTGCTGTAAATAATTTAAATTCAAGCTTTTTAAAGTTATGTTACTGTCTGAGGAAATTTCCATTAAGGTAGGCTGCTAGATAGTATTTTGTATTTCAATAAAAATTCAAATGAATCACTTCATCCCCAGAGATAACAGTATTTATTGTGTTGTTTTTATTTTCTGACTGCATTTAATTTTTAGAGATGTTGACGGTCTTTAACCTCAGAAAGAAATAGGCCCATTCATAACCTTACATCTTGCCCAGTATGTAGCTGTTATGCACCAGAATGCATTGTGGTGGCCTATTCGGGGCTTTTATCATACATGTTTGTGCAGCACTGTGATGTACTGTTAGTGACAATGATCCTGTTAATAAGTAAGTAGCCTAGATCCTGCTGTTCCTTTTTCAGTGGCTATGTTTCCATGAGTAGAATTGAATTATTCCCAGGCTGAATTAATAACGTCCTGAATAATCTATGTGGTTTCAGTTAGACTAAGATGAATTTTTTAAAAAGCTACGCTTACTTTGTATTTGTCCAACGCTTAATTTAAGTCTTTGGCTCAATTGATGTCATTGGATGATCTTCACAAGAGCTAAGTTGCATCTCCACTCTTCAGTGTGTAGTGAGTGCTCCAGCACATTACTGCTTTGTAAATGGAATGTGTACTCCAAACATATAAACAGGCAGAACTAGTAAGAAATGCACTCTGTGCAGATTGACACAAACTGACCTGACTCTGGTTTTCCCCAATTAATGAATGTTGGTTCATTGCCTTCTGAGAGCAGTCCACAGCACAATATTCATTTACTGAATTGAAGGTACTTGTCGATGTTGGTGAACTGTTTTGTTAACTCATGAAGGTAGCCAGCTTCACACGAGAGTCTAGATATTGAATGTGATCAGTTATTTTACCATGGGAGACATCATCATCAACATTCTGTTCTTGTATGCATATAATGGCACATCCATGAAGACTGTGTTTCAGAGTTGAGTCCCTCTTGACAGGGTAGCAGGATGGAGAATTGGGGTGGCAATTTTTATTGTCCTGTCTTTTGTCTCATAAGGCTGCAATTTGTCCTACAGCTCTTCACCAGGGCTTGGAGATTTGATACCTACATAGCCAAAGCTCAGGTCCCTGTGGCTTAACTTCCATTGGTGACAGAAAGGTAACCATAGCTGATAGGCTGTCTATTATAGATCCTGCCCAGTTATTGGTGGAAATAACCAATCAACAAAGTATATAGCAGGTAACAACTTGTTTTCAATTACCCTTGTGAGCCTACGATATCAGAAACTTTACTGCTGTGGGGGAGATGGAAGACTTCAGTGTAAAGAAGAGGGGAAAGAAACTGAAATATTAAATTTCTGTTTCCAGGGGTTATTATAGAACAGACCATGAAATCAAGCTTCAATGTGTATGCAACACTAATACAGACGTTCGCAAATAATGATTTCTGCTTAGTTCGGTAGTATTACTAAATCTGTATTTCTTCTGTAGTATGTGCTAATGTTTAACCTTGTGTAAAATGGATTTTAATTCAACAGCTTAAGTAGCACAGCAAATTATAATACTACTGATAATCAGCGCCTTGAATAGCCACTGTAGAGAGAAATGCTACTCAAAATAAAAATAATTCAGAATAATTGAAATGCTTTGCAGTCTGCTTAAACTACTGCCAAAGGAAACTTAGATAAGAAAACACAAATTGTACTGTATTTTCTTTAAGAAAACATGCCTATCAAAAGCTCCTGTAGTGTTTTCTCAGGTTGTACACTGCATGCCAAGAATGATTAGCATTTTGTGCCATTCCGTTCTACTCTCTGGTAAATTATTTTATTTCTTCATCAAAATATCCCTGAATCATAGATTGGGGATGATTGACAGGCTGATCCCTTCGTACACATGCATGTGAAAGTGACTTGAAGAGGAGTAATCTGTCTTCATATCAAACTGTTTCATGCAATCCTATCAATAGTCTATAAGTTACAGGTGAATGGTTTCTTTTGTGTCTATTTGTTTGGCATGGAAAAACAATGTGAGAAACAGTGTGAGATGTGAAATATGTATGATTAGTTACAGTTGGTCACTAACAGCAACCAATGGAATTTTTTTTTCCATTTTTACTATCTGCCATGAGGCTTCTTTTAAACAGCTATATAAGCTGGAAACATCACAGACTTAGGGCAAGGTATTTGTTTTGTAACAGTAGTATGGTCACAGCTGTGTTTGCAGGGCTCAGAGACCAGTTCAAATATCATTACCACAATTTATACTACTCACCATGCTGCTACTTTTTAATCCCAACTACCTGCTGAGCTATGACTAGGACTGTG